CATATTGTCTCCCCCGCCCCGCCGGGCCCCAGGCCCCAGGGCGGAATGTAACATCTTGTAATGTGGCAATCACTGCCAAAGCCGTCCCTGCGAGGGGAACTCCTGCCAGGGGGCCTCGGTGCGCAGTGGGGCCTCCGCATCCGCCCCCGCTGGTGTGTCTGGGGGGGGGGGAGGGGGCGGGGCAGCAGGAAAAGCGCGCGGGGCAGATCCCAATGGGGAAGGAGGTCTCGGCAAAGGGAGGCTTCTCTGGGGCTGTTTTGGGTGTCATGACCCCGACAGAGCGCGCCAGTCTCCGGAAAGCCTGGTCCGACAGGGCCAGGGGCTCGCGTAACAGGAACCTTAGGATCGCGCCCCACCCCCTCGCTTCTGGGGACCCCAAAAGCGAATGCAAGGGAGGTGTTTTCGGAGGAAAAGAGATCTGTAGCTTCATTTTCAAGGAGGTGTCTGATCCTCAACAGATTTAAGGCACTGGTGGTCGCTGTTCCTTGGAGGGAAAGGAGCCGGCTTTTGACTTTTGAGCTAGTGTTTGGGACGGGGAACTCGGGGGTGGGCTGTGTGGGAGTGGGGGAGTTGTTCCTGGGTTTTACCGTCAGGGAGCACGAATTTTTTTTTTTTTTTTTTGAAAGGCAAGGGGGATTTCTGGTCCCCAGTATCGTGTTCCCCTTCGAGGGGGCTTCTAACACTGGAGGGGACCATTCCACCACATTTGCACTCCTCCCTTTACCCCTCTTTCACTCCTCTCCCCTTCGACCACAGAAGTGTTTGTAAACAAAGACCCAGTTTTGCAGCGTACTCTCCGCCCCCATCAAACCTGATACTTCCCCCAAACTCGCCCCACCAGTCTCGGAAATTCTTACACAGGACGGATATTCACAATTTTCACAAGTAATCCTGAAAGAAAGCCGAGGGGAAGCCTCTTAAACGGTCCCACATTGTAGCGGCGCTGATTAGGCCCGGGATCCGTTCCCTTTCTTCTCTGCTCTCCCTAGCCCGGGAGCCGCGGGGCGGGCGGCTGGAATTCGGGGCAGCGGGAGGGGGGTGTGTCTACACCCAGCGGAGCACCCGGGGCTGGGTGGCCTGCGCGCCCTGGCGGGGGGCGGGGGGGGCGGGGGGGCAGAGGGGCGGGAACGGGATGAGAAGTGGAAGAGGGAGTGCCCCGGCTGCCAGCCCCGGGAATTGGAACTCAATACCAGCGCTCTGCCAGAGTTCCGAGCAACCCTGCCAGGGGGTGGAGCAGAGAGGGCCGGGCATCCCTCACTCTTCGGCTTCCCTCCCCCTGCTTCCCAGCGCTTGTCATATCCTGTCTCTGGCCTGATATTTCACGCGAGCAAATGGAAGGGGATTACAATGAAGATTTATGTGTGTTCCGAGCGCGACTGGTTTCCCAGTGTAGGGAGCCGAGATCGCGGCTTCCCATTTCCATTTTTCATTCGCGCTTTGGGGAGCGCAGTCCCGCGCGGGGGGAGCGTGTCTGCTCGGCGGCGGGCTGATCACAGGGCTCCGCGTCTCTCCGCGAGCCGTGAGACTGTGAGAAAGACTTGCCAGCTCGTTGCCCCCGGCGGGGCTGGAGCCGTCCCCTTCCTCCCCCAGCCGGGCTTTGTTTGTCCCCTCGCTCCCCCCTCCCCCTCCCCGCCCCCTCACTTCTGAGACCTGGGCGCATCCTCGCTTCCCGGTCTCTTTGCCCTTCTCCGGGGCTGCGGAAACGCCCCCTTCCTCTGGCCCCTGCACCCTCCTGCTCTCTGCTTCGCGGGCTTCCCGGGGAAAGACGCGCGGTGGCCTGGCGCGACCCCGCCGCCGCCGGGTGCCAGGTTCGGTGACTCCAGCGAGTCTGTGGGGCCTCGGCCCACCCCGGAGCTGGGGCCGCCCGCCCTCCCGGCTCCCAGGCTCGCTCATGCCAAGGCCTGTTGCGTGATTCCAACTTGGGCTGACATTCCCTGCCCCGGGCGCTCCGGCGTAGGCCTCTTAATCATCTTGTCTGCTGCAGATCCTCGACACCAGCCAATTTACTGCCCTGTCTCTCCTCGCTGGTTTCTGGAGGGGGAGGGGAGTGCGCGCAAAGGAGGGGAGGGCACATTCAACCGCAGGAGGAAGGCTGGCACCAGCTACTGGCACTCAAAGAAAACCACGGAATTTGGAGCTGGGGGGAGGGAGAGCAGGAATGGGGTCTGCTAGGCAGCGGCTGCTTAGAGAAGTTGGAATCACAGGGTCAATGAGCTTTAGCTCTGGCCTTCCTAGCCTGGGAAAACAATGCAGGAATGGGAATGGCCACTGGATTTGTAGCTTCCCTGTTTTTCCCAGAGTCCCTCTCCCTGGCCACACTCTGTTGTAAGCTGGACTCCACGCAGGCCCCAAAACTGGCCAGAAAAGGTAGGATTTGTCTCAGGATGATGGCACTGAATGTAGAAAGTCACCCCCTCTCATGTCTGCTTTCTGGCAGAGGTGATCTGAAGACACACAGGGATGGCCTGAATAGCCATCCTAGAGGAGGCCTGGATCTGGCTAGCAGGGCTCTCTGGCCTGCCCCTAATTTCCTCTCCTGTAGAGGCTGGCCCCTTCAAAGGGATTGGCTGAGGTTCGGATTCTCATGTAAGAAGGGGCCAGAGCTGAGCTCTCTCAGCTCTAGAGTGCTGCTTTTCCACATGAGGCAAAGCTGGAAAGGCTTCTGGGTCAGTCTGGATCTCATAATCACACAAGTACACACAAGGCACAAGTAAAGCCTCCCTGTTTGGGGGGCATTGGGATCAAACAATACACTACTAATAGCAAAAATGAGTGCTTACTATGTGCGGGGCACTGTTACCTCATTACCTCATTATATGCTCACAAAAACTCTGAGATAGCTGTTTTTATTTCTCCAGTCGTATAGATATGCAAACTGCAGCTCAGAGAGGTTAAGGCGGTAGTCCCGAATCACAGAGTCAATGATTAAACCTAAAATGCTTCCATTGTAGGCCTCAGTGCTTTGAAGGAAAGGGACTTTTAGTTCAGGCCTGTATTACCCACCTACCCTTGGCCTTTGCAGAGAATGGCAGAAAGGAAGTGGGTCACTTCCCACAATGGAAGCTGGGTGGGTGGGACCCAAGGTGGAAAGCAGAGCTGAACGGTGTGTGCACATTTCCCCTCAGAGAATGCGAGATGGAAGGGTGCCACTCTCACAGCAATGTTCCTGTCTCTATGTGAATGTACCTGTGTGCGTGAGTGTGCTTGTGTGGGTTTGTGTATCCGTGTACGTGAAGGTGCACGTGCATGAATTTTTGTCAGTGGTGTGCGTGTGTGACTCAGTAGGAGTGTGACTGTGTGCATACTAGAGTGTGTGATAGTATAGATGTGACTGTAAGAGTCATAGTGTGTGATTGAATGTGTGTTAGCGCAGCCCTTCGTGCCGGGGTCACCCTACATTCCAGAGCAGCCAACCGAGTTTCCCGAGGGCCAGGGTGACTCACTGAGTTCTCAGCTCTGGCAGCCCCAGCAGGGCCACAGGGCAAGCAGAGGGGAGGGTCCAAGGTAGGGGTCTGACCCCGGCTTCTGCACTCTCAGGCTGCGACTGCAGGTCCCCTGCGGCGGCTCGGAAGCTCTGCCCTGCCTGCACCACCAGTGCGGGGGCGGCAGAGACCGCCCAGGAGCCGGGCAGTGGCGCCGGCGCTGGAGGGGCCCGGCGGGCGGAGGCTGCAGCCGCCAGGGCGCAGGGTGACTCACCGCGCCTCGAGAGGGCAAACCCCGCGCCAAGACTCGAGTGCCCGCAGAGAGTGAACATTTCGGGGAGGCCCATGCCAAGCGCGCCTGTTCTCGCCTCGCCTCACCGCTCTCGAAGCCTCTGAAAAATGGAAACGTCACTTTCTCGGCCGGCCAGGTTCCCCGCCCGTGCAGGGGGCTCGAGGCTCCAGGTCATGACACCAAAGAAAAAGCGCACACATCCAATGAAAACAATAATTTATTTAAATAATCTCTTCATATTGTAAAATCAACATTAAGAGCATGTTGTTTTCATAATAAATAACCCCAAAATATCTTTCATTTCAAGAACAAAGACTTTAGGATAAGATAAAATAAAACCCAATCAGTAGCTTAGTTAAACTGAGAAAATTTTCAAAGGGAAAAATAAAATGGAGGGGTTGCTGAGGTCACTGCTAAACCGCAGTTTTCACAAGGGGGGGGTTACAAAAAAGTCTGAAAAGACGAGTATTTTTATACAAATAAATCAGTGGGAAAATCTGCACAGACACCTTTATTTACAAACTCTATGTCGAAGTCCAGCCTAACAATCCTGAATAGGTTTTAAAAAAGATAATTTAAACACATTTTTTGCAGTGTTCACATATTAAAAAATCATTTTTTCCCCAACATCAAAATGAGGTCATCCGCAAAGGCACCTAAACTTTTAAAAAAATAAAAATAAAAAAACTCCAAAGGTGATGGATGAGGAAAGAGCTAAGGGAGCGTTCCTGGGGGAGGGGGCGGGATCTAAGGCAGGGCAGAGGGGGGCTCCAAGGGACTTGGGACAGCAGGGCAGAAAAAAAACGGCGGGCCGCCCAGGTCACCGGGGCGAGTGGGGAGGACACGCAGGCCGGGGAGGTCAATCAGGCCAGCGCTGGAGCTGGGCCTGGGGGCCGGCACCGAGAAAGGAGCCTCAGAGCACCCTGGAAGCTTCGCGGGCGGGGGAGGCGTCCCTCCCCCCGGACTCAGCTCGTGGCCCGCGGCAAGGAAGGCGCCCGACTGCCTCTTGGGTCGCGGAGGGAAGGAGAGGCTTGTCTGAGGCGGAGCTCAGGTCGGAAAGGCGGCCAAGGCGGGCGGCCCTGCCGGGGGCCTTGAAGAACCTTCCAGTTCCCCGCCGCTCAGTGGCAGCGCGAGGGAGCAGGGCCCGTGGCGGGCCCTCCCAGGCCTCTCCTCACAGAGGGTGGGAGGCGTCCGCGGGCCAGCTGGAGGGACCCTCCGGCTCTCCGGGCGAGCACTAAAGATCACCGATCTCTGCTCTCTCAGTCTCCTGCGTAGTGTCTCTCGGGTTAGAAAATCGTCCCCGCGCTCACCGGGGCGCCCCCGCCGCCGTGGTGGTGGTGGTGGTGGTGGTGATGGTGCGGCTGCGGGGTCTGCGTTGGGTGCAGCAGGGGCGCGGCGGCCTGCAGGTGTGAGGCAGGGCCCGAGGCCTGGTGGTACCACGGGTAGTTTCCCAGGAAGGCCGAGGCCGCGCTGCTCGGGCTGGAGCCCGAGCTGCCGGCGCCGCTGCCGCCGCTGCCGGGGCCGCCACCGCTCCCCATCCGGGGCGGCGCGCTGAAGTCCCAGGAGGCCGGCGCCGACACGGGCGGCGAAGCACAAGGTGGCGACGTGCTGGCCCCAGGGTGCTGTTCCGTAGGGATCTCCCCGCTTTTCCACATCTTCTTGAACTTGGACCGGCGGTTCTGGAACCAGATTTTGACCTTTGTGGAAAAGGGACCCGAGCGTTAGTGGAAGAACCTGGATCTGGGGCAGGGGAGGGGAGGAGCGTGGAAAGCATGCGGGGCAGGTGAGCGGATCACGTGCCGAGGCCTCGGAGGCTGGGATGGCTCCCACTCTATTGGGAGGCAATCTCAGAAAATCGGAGACAGCTGGTGTGGGTGCACCGTGGTGGTGGTGACAGCGGGGAAGGGTCAGGAGGACCAATGATTTTACCCGCTTAATCAGTACCGCGCGGTAAGACTGCGAAAGCGGCTTTCTGCCCACCCCGTCCTTTCGTTTTCTCACACGCGGCGCCCCCCCCCCCCCCCGGGATTTCAGCTTCAGGAGTAGAAGTTTAGGCCGCCCAAAGCACGGGCCTCGTAATCTTTAAAATTACTTTAGAAACACTTTTTTAAAACGTTGTGCTGACCCCGCCTGCTTCCCAGCCATCCCAGGCCCGCGCGCTCCTCGTTCCGCTCCAGGCCGGGAGCCCTTACCTGAGTCTGGGTGAGGCCCAGAGACGCCGCCAGCTCCGCTCGCTCGGGGAGTGCCAGGTACTGAGTCTTTTGGAAACGCCTCTGAAGAGCCGCCAGCTGGAAACTGGAGTAGATGGTGCGGGGTTTCCGGACTTTCTTTGGCTTCCCATTCACTATCCGAATTTCAGGCTCGAGGTCCTCTTTCTCTGCAACGCAACGCAACCGTGAGAACAGCACAACCGGGGAGCCCCAAAGACTTCCCGCTGGGCATAAGCGCCTGGCCTGGGACTTGGCCAGAGCCGGGGAGCGGCTTCTCGGACACGAGCAGGGCGCTCAGACTCCACTTCGCTAAGTGCGGACTCGCGCCGCCGTGGAACCTGGGAGCTGGATTCTCCAGGAAGGGGAAGAAGGAGCCAACCGGAGAGAAAGAAGGAGCAGGTGGTAAGGAAATGAATTGCCATGAAGCATGCACCGCGCGCCCACTCGGCCCCCTAAGGCCACCCGGTCCCACCAGCCGAGCCCCGAGGGACCTACCCAGTGACCCTCGGCAGACTGGCGGTTGAGAAAGGTAAAAGGCGCAGGGCGGGCAGGGAGGGAGCAGGCAGAGTAAACGGCAAGGGTTCCGGATGGATCCCCGCCCCAAACAATTTTCTCCCACCCATCCCAGGAACTAGACTGACTTGTCACCCTTGACGCCAGCGTTGTGCATACCAGGTTCATTGTTGGCCGGGGAAGAACTGGTCCCGTAGGGTGCGTACGAGGTGTAGGCGGCGGTGTAGCCCAGGTCGTAGCTGCTCTTGGCGGAATAAGGGACGTTGTTGAGGCCGCCGGCGTGGTACTGGTAGGAGCCCATGTGCGCGTAGGGCGAGCCCCCACTGCCGCCGCCGCCGCCCGCCGGGTGCTGCTGGTTGGTGTAGTAGCTGCTATCGGTAGCTGTGGATACCGGCAGTGTGGGCGACTCCTGGGGCTTGTGGAGGCTGCTGCCGTTGCTGCCGCCGGGGCCAGCGCCGCCGCCGCTTGGGGGCTGCTGGTGCTGGTGGTACGTGCTGGAGGCCGTGATCTGGGTCGAGTGCATATCAGCCACCAGACTGTCAAAGACTCCAGTCATCCTGGCCCGGGACGGGAAGGAGCAGGGGTGGCGGGCGCGAGCGGGGAAGCGAGGCGCCTCCTCCGTCTCTCCCTGTCCCCTCCAGCAGCCAATGTAATTACGGGGGGTGAGGGAGGGTGGGGAGGAAAACAAGAAATGTGGCAACGGTCTGGGCAACTCCTCCTCCGGGGGAGGCGATCACCGTGCACTGCTCGGGACAGCTGCCGACGGCCGCATCCTCTCTCCGCCTCTCTAACCCGCTCGGCTTCTTGCCCAGCGCCGGCTCGGGCGGGGGGCGGGCGGCGGGCGGCGGAGGGGGCAGGGGTGGCGGGGCCAGGCCGGGGCTCTGGGAGGCGGGAGCAGGTGAGCAGCCCAGAGCGGCCTTACGATTGTCTGCGGGGCGGGTTCGGGCAGGGTGGGCATTTAACAGTCGTCACGTGAGCGCCGGGACGTCACCTAGCAACAGCCAATCCCAAGCGCCGGGCGAGGCTCAGGGCGCCGGGGTACGCCCGGCCGGGGGGCTGGTGTCACCCGGCGGGCGCTGCGGCGGCTGCGGTTGCGGGCGCAGACAGGCCGCGGCTGAATGGGAGCAGCGAGGCGAGGGATTGGGGAAGGGGCGCGGTGGGGAGTCAGGGGGGCCGGCAGCCGCAGGACGGGAGGCGTGAGGACGGGGACCGGCTCAGAGGAGGAAGACAGGGCGTCTCCCATCCCGTTCTGTGCACAAGCGCCCACCAGATCCCGCGATTCGCGTCCTCCTGTCCGAGGTCCGCGCTCAAACACGGATCAAAGCGGCGCCGAGAGTCGAGCCAGGTCTGGCTCCGCTTTTCCTCGAAGCGTCTGGCGGTTACCCTTGTCAGTCACTCGGCGCTTGAAGTCAATTGATTTAAATGATCCATAAACCACGTATAATAATCCCTAATTCCACATACTTGCTAACCGACCCGCAGGAATATTAGATAATTAATGAGATAATGTTTGAACGATTATTTTCTTGTTGCTTCCGTGAAAAGCTATATAAATTCAAAAATATTATCACTAACGATATATTTGAAACCATTTTCCCTCGTACTTTCCTGATAGGACGAGACTTCGAGCAATTATGTAGATTTGATGGTGAACTGACAGGCACAAAGCGACCCCGGGAATTTCCTCTCTAGGTTGGAATGCTAGACCAGATTGACCAGACGGCCTTCAAAGTTCGTTCTAATTCTAAATTCTATATATTTACGACAAAGGATAATTCTTAGGGGGGAGAGGCGTCTCGATACTACAAGTCTGGGTGAATTTACAGAAACAAATAGAAAAAGTTTTTTCTCAAGCACTTAACCCTATTTTACAGTTCATTCAGTTAGGACCCTGTTTCTTCCTATCAATGCAATTTCCTCTTAAATCTGAAGTGGCGACTTTCCCCATAGCAGTGTTTCCTCCTGGCTGGAGACCGTGGCCGGGAGTTGAGGGACGCTCAGCTTTACTGGACTCCCGAAGTCCGCAGTTCCCGCGGCAGTGCTGGCCTTGTGGCGCCACCTGCTGGGGGTGTGCCTGGTTGCAGCGGGCCCACTAGACGGTCTAATCACGCTGAGGCGCCAGTCTCTGAAACCCCCCAAAAGAACAAAATAGTAATTAAAAGCCACAAAGTTGTGCTAGTGCGCGCCATCTGAAGCATCCCTTCCTAAAGACATAACATGTCGCTGAAAGAACTTGTTTCAACAACTGCCTAATGGAAAACAAGTTGATACTTTGAAAAATATGATCTTGGTCTTCTTCCCCCGAAAAAGCAAGTGTGTAATTAAAACTCCAGCATCCACACAGTTCACTCTCTTCGGAATAATGAGGAAGGTAATCCACCTTCAAATCTGCCAGGATTTAGTTCCCAGCCTGCCTTTTGGTTGAGGAAGGCCCCTTGATGGAGCCTGGTGAACTCATTAGAAATGCTTTGGGAAGTGGGGCTCACCACGGAGGGACAGCCTTGTATAACGGCTGGACTCAGCCTGCTGTTTTGTGGACCCTAGTTACAAAACTAAACTCTAGATATTTAACCAGTATTGCCTTTTGGTGTCTTAACTCCAAATTCCAAGTCTTTTTGTCAGCACAGTGGTAGCTGCTTTGGCCTGATATAAAAATTTTCCCCTCTGAAAATGAAATATAAAAGAGACAATTGCCCTAGTTTTGCCTTCTCTCTGCTCCTTTGTCCCACTCTAAGCATGTCCTCTGGGCTTTTTCATGGTGGCAAATTTGTTGTATTATGTTATCTATGAGAACCTCTATTAATAACCTAAAGTCTAGGTCAGCTGAGATCTGGAAAATGGCATCTTCCTGGAAGGAAATATGACTCCAGTTTCTCTTTAACTGGAAAACAAGGGGGCTGTATGTGTATGTGGGAAAAAAGATCAGAGGCAATGAGCAAGGAGAGAGAGCAAGAGTGAGGGAACCAGACAGGCCGAACTTACAACTGCATTTGGAGAATAAAATAAAGACTTGAAATATTAAATCTGATAATCCAGACACAAAATTGGGTTTGGCCATATGATCTGGTCACCAAATCATAATATCCTAGTGATTTCCTCATTTTGGTCTAAAGTCAGGGAGACAGAGACAGTGTCCTAGAGAATGGGACACATTTGTCTACAGTTCAGAGCAGAGGGACATCTCCCTCCACAGTGATCTGAGAATGGTAGAGGGGGCACTTACACTGAGTTTATGGGAACACCACTGTGTGGCCACACTCCCTCCTCAGCCTCAGAGCACTCTCCTTCCCCTTTTCTACTTTTGGTTTTCTCCATTGGCCTGGGGAGTCTCCAGGGAACTAGAGAAGATTGCAGGTAGTAGGGGAGCTCAGGGTTTCTGCTCTGGCCTCCTACACTCCAGTCCCATCGCCAAGACATTCTCGCTTTGAATACTCTGCCCATCATCTCTGGCTGTGGCACTTTATGTGGTCACAGAGTCCCACTGTGTCCTCCCAGAGAAGCCTTGAGGTAACTCTTGTCAGACATGGATGGAATCATTGTTCCCATGGCACCAAGGGACACTGAAGGTCCAGGGTAGAAATGACATTCTTTGAGTCAGGTACTCCTCCTTTCTCTGTCATTGTAGAGCATATAGCAGGGTACTTACTCCGAGCCTTGGTGAACAGCTGGAGAACAGGTCTTCCATGGCTTGTTTTCAGCTCCTGACCTACTGCTGGCCTGGGCTTCGCTGGCCCGATGCACCACCACCTCTACCCTGGGCGTCCTCCATTACACTGAGGGGTCCTGTGGGGGAGAAGATGCCCACTGTCGGGAGCATGTGGTGCCCTCTTGGCACAAAGGATAGGCTCATTCGAACTTGCCTAGTCTCCTGGTGGGGGGAGTGTCAGATGCACTGTGGGACTGCTCCTTGTCCCCCACTTTGCACTTTCCCATAGAGGGTCCCTGGGACATGGGTTTCCAGGCCATTGGTCCTAGAGGCATTTTTTTTTTTTTTAAGATTTTATTTGTTTATTTGACAGAGAGATCACAAGTAGGCAGAGAGGCAAGCAGAGAGAGGAGGAAGCAGGCTCCCTGCTGAGCAGAGAGCCCAGGACCCTGGGATCATGACCTGAGCAGAAGGCAGAGGCTTAACCCACTGAGCCACCCAGGCGCAGCCCCCCCCCCCGCCCCCACCCCCCCACTTTTGTGGTTTTATCCCTCTAGAAGTTCTAGGAAATATTTTGGGTTCGTTCTAGAATTCAAAGACCTTGGGAGAGGTTGGGAGTTTATGGGAGCCTGCCGTCTCCATCTTTCCGGGACCATACTGGCCTGCTCTCGTCCTTTCTTCATTGGCCATTGTATCTTCTAGGGGACAATGCTTGCCCAATCCTTTTGCATTGCTAGTGTCCACAACTGCCTCCCACCTCATTCCTAATTTTGGGGTGCGGTCAGCTCCTCCCAGTCCCTTTGACCGCTAGGCAGATGAGATATCTGACTCCCAGGTCTGCGTACTAAGAGCCCACTTTTTTTCTTGTGTAAACTCGCTGAAAGTGCATAATGGAAACACACCCACTGCTGAGGTAGGGACCTCGAGAAAACCTTTGGGAGACACCCAGCAGACTCGTCATTCAAACTGAGGTCTGGGCCACAGAGGCAAGGTTGCTGCAGCTTCTCGCTGGGTTTTTGGCCTGGGGCTCATGGGGGAAAGGCGGTACTACCCCCACCTTTTCCGAGCCAGGTTCTTCCAGCAGAGTGCAACGCGGCAGCTGAAAAGGGGGCACGGACAGTCCAGAACGCAGCCCTCCGACCCCAGGAGCAGACTGGAAGGAGAGTGGTCTTTCAGACACCAGCAGGAGCACAGGCACTGAGTGGGGGGATGGCAGGGCAACCCTGGGAAAATCCCACAACAGATTCGAGGTCAATGGAGAGGCCCTGAGGCGTGCGCCTCCCGCCCGGCTCCCCAGCGCGAGACCCTGCTGTTTCCGCCACGGATTACCTTTCTATCTGCTAGTGTGAGTAAACCAAAAGGACTTGAACACGAATAAGTCGATACTTCACGTTCACATCCATGACCTTTCTGAGGGACGTTGTAGCGCTGAATGTGTAGTTCAGCATGCTTCTAGAATTTTCGGATCCAATTTAGCCTTCCGCCTTCTAGGTCTTGCTGACTCCCTCCCCGCTCCCGCCCCCCAGTCCCTTTTCACTTTATAGACAACTCAGTGGTTAAGGAGAACAAAAGCTAGGGTTCCTGGCCCTCGAGGGTACCCAGCATGGGTCGAGCCTCTGAGGCGCTAAGCCTCACCATTGAGTCTGGGCTCACAACCTGGTTACCAAGAGCTCAGGGAGCAAGCAGCAGTGCGCCAGGGAAATGCTACAGTTCTTCCATGGCTACAAACTGCCAGATTTCGGTGTGCAGGTGGCGAAGACCACGAACGCCGATGGAGTAAGTTACATTCCCCACCCCACTCCAAAAGACACCAGAGACCGCTGGGAGGAGTACTTTGCGCCTGAGTACTGAGCAGCACTCAAATTGCGTAAGGAGCAGGGAGGTATGCACATGGATCGCAAGCTTCGTCC